TGATTTTTTGAGAGTTGATGGGAGGGAGGGAGTGGGAGAAAGAGAGAGAGAGAGAGAGAGAGAGAGAGAGAAACCTATGTGAAAGAGACTCATCGATTGGTTGCCTTCTGCATATCCCTGGAATCCAACCTGCAACCCAGGTACATGCCCTTTGCGGGAAATCGAACCGAAGACCCTTGGGTGTGCGGGCCCACCCTCTAACCACTTAGCTACACCAGCCAAGGCGAAATATGCCTTTCTTTTAAGGCAAAGAAGACTTGGTCCATTCAGCTTGAGAGCCGACACATAAAACGTTCCACCAAAGTAAGTCTGGTCTCAGGAAATGACAGCCTGGGTCTTGGAGCTATTTACTTACTGACAGGGATGCATATGGGAGGAGGGGACCAGCCGGTCTCCGTACAGGTCATCCTGTTCTGTGGGTTTTGAAGACCGTAGCCCAGATGGCACATAACTGTTCTAGATTGGCCCTGGACATACCTTTCTTCAGTAACTGGAGAATATCCATGTAGCAAAGACTTGAAAGAACATTTTCCTAGGAATTATAAATTGATAATAAGAAATAAGAAATCTGGTTAAGACATTAAAAATCATCTTTGCAATATTTAAGTTAGAATATATGAGCACCCAAAAAGAACACATAGCTTGAGAGGAACTAAAGTTGCTAGCAAGTGTTTTTTAAAAGAGAAAAATCAAGATGAAAGGTAATCTGCCATTTTCACAATTAAACTATGAATAAATGACATCACTTTATTGTTATAAAGTTTCTATTTTGATCTCCCATTTTCTTTTTTTCAGTTAATCCTCACTCGCAGATATTTCCCCATTGATTTTTATTTTTTATTGTTTAATATATTTTATTGATTTTTTTACAGAGAAGAAGGGAGAGGGATAGAGTTATAAACATCGTTGAGAAACATCGATCAGCTGCCTTCTGCACGCCCCCCACTGGGAATGTGCCCGAAACCAAGGTACATGCCCTTGACTAGAATCGAACCTGGGACCCTTCAGTCCGCAGGCCGACGCTCTAACCACTGAGCCAAACAGGTTAGGGCTCCCCATTGATCTTTAGAGAGAGTGGAAGGGAGAGGGAGAGACAGAGAGAAACATCCATGTGAGAGAGACACATCGATTGGTTGCCTCTTGCACGTGCCCTGACCAGGGCCAAGGAACCTGCAACCGAGGTACGTGCGTGCCCTTGACCGGAGTCAAACTTGGGACCCTTCACTCTGCGGGCCAACACTCTATCCACTGAGCCAAACTGGCTAGGGCAACTTCCCATATATATTTTTTTAATATATTTTATTGATTTTTCACAGAGAGGAAGGGAGAGAGATAGAGAGAGTTAGAAACATCGATCAGCTGCCTCCTGCACATCCCCCACCGGGGATGTGCCCGCAACCAAGGTACATGCCCTTGACCGGAGTCAAACTTGGGACCCTTCACTCTGCGGGCCAACACTCTATCCACTGAGCCAAACCGGTTTCGGCAACCTCCCATATTTTTAATGAGGAATGTACCATAACAGAAAAATTCTTCACTGGTCTTTCTGCCCATAGGATGCTTCCCTCGACCTTGTTGTACTCATGTTTTTCTCTCTCTACTGTGAAGTGTTTCTATGTGCACAGGATGAAGAGGTTGGCTTACTGAGGCAGGGGATTTCCGGCGACCATCCATCCTGTGTGCAATTCATGATAGCCAGGCTAGATTGTGAAGGAGTCACGTAGCCGTAGTCACAGAAGTAGAGTAACGATCGCCCTACATATACCGGAAAGTATGATTTAGTTGTATCCGCATGAAGCAGCCGTCCATGTTTTATTTCCGGAAATCCGCAGGGCTTCACTAGCAATGAAAACAAAGAACACGCAGTATGACTAATGGTGTGCATTCACAAAAATCCAATAGGAGTGAAATTGTTTCAACGGTGAATTATATCCCTTTCTTACCATACGAATACAGTGGGGCCTTGACTTACGAGTTTAATTCGTTCCGAGACCCAGCTCGTTAAGGAGCTCGTTAACTCAAATTACTCTGTCAACTCAAAGCAAAAAATCCGCCGAGAGACAGCTGGTATCTCAAAAAACTCGTTAGTCGGGACACTCGTAAGTCAAGGCCCCACTGTAACATCATTGCATTAGGCTTTCTAGGACACGAAAAGTTATAAAGTTCGGATGATGTAACTAACACTTGTTTTCTTCACATTTCATAATATATACGTATATGGAATCCTTAGAGGGTACACCTGAAACTAATATTTATATGCCCATTTACTCTAAACCAGTGGTTCTCAACCTTGGCTGCACATTAGAATCACCTGGGAATCTCTTTAAAATTCTGATTTCTGGGCCTCATCCTCCAGAAATTCTGTTTCTTTGTTATGGGGTGGGGCCACAACATTAGTAACAAAGAAACAGAATTTCCAGAGGATGAGGCCCAGAAATCAGGATTTTAAAAAGATTCCCAGGTGATTCTAATGTGCAGCCAAGGTTGAGAACCACTGGTTTAGAGTAAATGGGCATATAAATATTAGTTTCAGGTGTACCCTCTAAGGATTCCATATACGTATATATTATGAAATGTGAAGAAAACAAGTGTTAGTTACATCATCCGAACTTTATAACTTTTCGTGTCCTAGAAAGCCTAATGCAATGATGTTACAGTGGGGCCTTGACTTACGAGTGTCCCGACTAACGAGTTTTTTGAGATACCAGCTGTCTCTCGGCGGATTTTTTGCTTTGAGTTGACAGAGTAATTTGAGTTAACGAGCTCCTTAACGAGCTGGGTCTCGGAACGAATTAAACTCGTAAGTCAAGGCCCCACTGTATTCGTATGGTAAGAAAGGGATATAATTCACCGTTGAAACAATTTCACTCCTATTGGATTTTTGTGAATGCACACCATTAGTCATACTGCGTGTTCTTTGTTTTCATTGCTAGTGAAGCCCTGCGGATTTCCGGAAATAAAACATGGACGGCTGCTTCATGCGGATACAACTAAATCATACTTTCCGGTATATGTAGGGCGATCGTTACTCTACTTCTGTGACTACGGCTACGTGCCTCCTTCACAAACTAGCCTGGCTATCATGAATTGCACACAAGATGGATGGTCGCCAGAAATCCCCTGCCTCAGTAAGCCAACCTCTTCATCCTGTGCACATAGAAACACTTCACAGTAGAGAGAGAAAAACATGAGTACAACAAGGTCGAGGGAAGCATCCTATGGGCAGAAAGACCAGTGAAGAATTTTTCTGTTATGGTACATTCCTCATTAAAAATATGGGAGGTTGCCGAAACCGGTTTGGCTCAGACACACACACACACACACACACACACACATACTTAACATTGAAGCAAAATTTAAAAAGGTTTTTCACTTACAAAGATGGGACATTGTCCTTAGAATTGGCGACTTTGAAAAGCAAAGAGCGCCCGTCAGTCCTCGGCTTTACCTTCTCATTGAGGCAATGACCGGGTTTCCCAGGCCCCATTTCTTGGTGTTTAAGGGAAGGAATTTATAACGAAGAAGCAGGTCAAGACCTGAATGGGACTTACGGACACATCTGGGACGAGGTAGCCAGCCTACAAGAGAGCATTTCGTTGTATTTCCCAGGAGGGGAGGATAGAAGCCATTTCCACACCGGTATGTGATGACATCATCAAGTTCGTATTGGTTCATTTTAGGAGCAAAGTCACCGTTTGGAATTATCGGAGGATCACATGTTATTTCTGAGAAGAAAAAGGACACGTAGATTATGCAGATAATTATCTCATCAATATATTCTTTTTCAAAAAATACATTTTTATTGATTTCAGAGAGGAAGGGAGAGGGAGAGAGAGACACATCAATGATGAGAGAGAATCATTGCTAGGCCCCTTGCTCGGGATCCAGCCCACAACCCAGGCATGTGCCCTGACCGGGAATCGAAAGACGACCTTCTGGTTCATAGGTCAACGCTCAGTCACTGAGCCACATGGGCCGGGCTCCATCAAGGTATTATTTATTGTGACCTTAAAACACAGAAACTGTTTACTGGTCAATTCATTCATAAATTACAGACAGCCCTGGCCGGGTTGCTCAGTGGTTAGAATGTTGGCCCTCAGACCAAGGGTCCCTGGTTTAATTCCCGGTCAAGGGCACAGACTTTGTTTGAAGGTTCCATCCCTTGCCCTGGTTGGGGTGAGTGTGAGAGGCAATCAATCCATATGTTTCTCTCACATTGATGTTTATCTCTCTCTTGCTCTCTCTCTCTCTCCCTCCCTTCTCCCTCATATTCACTCTTTCTCTAAAAATCAGTGGGAAAAAATATCCTCGGGTGAGGATTAAAAAAAAAAAGTAGAGACAAATGAAAATGAGAGAAGTTCTACTTAAGAAGGAGCTAATATTCCCATCAGCTTCCACTCACCTTGTCCACGAGCCCAGGAGACCCACAGGGTGAGGATGACCTTGACTAGTAACAGCATGGTAGGGCTCCCGGGGTGTGTTAGCACAGATAGTCCAGCGCTGTTCTGTGTGGTTTTAACTCAGCTTCCTGAGCCGTTACCAAGTGTGGCTCTGAATTTAAGTGACAGTACCGGGAAGCTGGTTAACTGAGGTCACTCGGTAGATAACAAAGTTCAAAGACTTTCACAATATCTGTGTGTTTACATGAATGATTTCACAATCATTTGTTGACTTCGTTCCCAGACACGTGCTTGTACAGCTTTCCTTAGGGACAGTAACAGTAAGACTGGGTATAAAACTCGAATCTTTAAACTTCTTGAGGATGGGTGAGGTTCTTTCTCAACCAGGAGATTCACGTGGGAGTAGCTCTGACTGCCTGTCCCTGTGACGGTCCCTCCTCCTCTCTTTGCTCTCACCCGACTGCAGTCCTTAGGGGTCTATGGACACCAGCCAGTGTGTCACACAGTGTAGGGTCCTGTCTGTAGGACAGCACTGATTTTTTTGGTAAATTCACAACAGACCACACCACCAAGTCCAACAATTTCAGCACATTCTTGATATTCAACTTTTTCATGTTTTATTGATTTTAGAGAGAGAGAAACATCGATGAGGGATAGAGGCAGGCACTGAGGTGATTTCTGGCCAGAGACATTTCATGAACAGAACACACAGCATGTTGGTTTGTCACATTTTCATGAGATGCTTATAAGAAGTGGTCCGTTGGTCTCAGATTACAATGACATCTCCCACATGGTATTTAATGCAAATTCTGATTAGTGAATAAAAGCGAGTTACAGAAAAATAAATTGATATGAACTGGATTAATATTTAAAAATTCTGAATGAGGCGCATATTTTAATGTGAAAACTGCCACACAGCTCTCATTATGCACAAGTGGGATACTCCAGCTTTCCTTCTCGACATTGTGCTCGGAATGCAGAGTCTGGTGACAGTTTACGATAGTAACCTCGACGACACCTAAATTCAATATAATCATTTGTTCTGGTATAAATTTTTTTTGCATATGAATATCTCAACTCTATGTTATGTGCTTCCATGATTTCTTCTGATATTACACAAGCATCTGAAAGTAAAAAAAAAAAAAAGAAAAGAAATAAAACTAAGTATTATACAAGTATTTTCCACTTTCATGCAGCATCTTCTACACAGATCCAGGAATTTATTCTCAAACCCTTTCAAACCAATTCATTGAAAATCTATCATGTTGTTATAACTCATTTTTAACTATCAAAGATGTAAAAACGAGGTACTCTGTGAAATGTGTGGTTATTGTAGTTTATAATCAACATTTACAATGTCAACTATGCTAAGAAGGGCTTTCAATAAAGAATCCTTGAAGTGGGTGGTGGAGGTGGATGAGGGTGGAGGGGGCATAAGTGGTGATGGGGAAAATAAATTAAAATAAAGAAAAATGATAGTTTCTTGCTGTTGATGCTCAAGAATTTTTCAGACTTTATACCCTCAGACATGACTATTTGGTAGTCAACAGAATAGGTGATTGTCCACTCAAGTTCAGTTGTAAACAGCAAACATGACATTCATTACAGGGATTTCCCAGGGTCCACGAGGATATTAAAGGACTTACCTAAGCATTTGGGTGACTCAGACCACTGTCCATCACGGCACGTTATTCTCCTGTTTCCCTCAAGTTCATAGTAGGCCTGGCATTGATACTCCACTGAAGACCCGGGAGCGTAGACTGCTAATGGATACGTGGTAATGTCTCCATTGTCAATAGCAGGAGGGGGCCCACATTTTCCTGTGGACTCTAAGAGAGGATATCGTTGGTTTATTGAGTGAGCAGTTGATTTTAAGGGAGCTGCAGAGTAGGTGGGAGCTACACTCACCTCCTCCCGGCCCCAAACCGATTTACAGGAAACGATAGAGCAATCAGCCTGAGTAACCAAATGAAGGCCAGCTGGACAGGAGTCTAGTAACCAAGTGCTTATAGAAGCTGCACAGAGACTGGGAGGGGAGAATGAGACACCTACCCTTGCACTCAGGTGGGTCTGTCCACTCCCCACTTAAGCAGGTCACCACTGGATTCCCGAAGAGGCCCAAAGGGTGCCTGCATTCATAACGTGCTGTGTCCCCATGCCGATACCTAGGCTTCTGGTTTGGTATAAAGGCATTTTGCACTGTGGGAGGGCTGCCACAGGAGAGATCTGAATAAAGAGAAAAAAGGGATCTCTAAAGCAGTGATCATTTAGACCCAATTGAGACTGAAAATCTTCACAAATTTACATGCAAGATTGAAAAAAAAGATAAAGCAATATTTTTTGGTAAGATTTAAGCTTCTATATGTTAAGTTCCAAAAAATTTTTTAAATTAATTTTTAGATAGAGAGGAAAGGGGTGAGAGAGAGAGAGAGAGAGAGAGAGAGAAACATCGATTGGTTGCCTCATGCATGCCTCCTACTGGGGATCAAGCCCATAACCCCAGCATGTGCCTTGACCGGGATGGAACCAGTGATCTCTTGGTACAAGAGATGTCACTCAATCAACTGAGCCACACCAGTCAGGGCTACTGCTATTTCTTTTTTTAAGTATATTTCTGTATTGATTTCAGAGAGGAAGGGAGAGGAAGAGAGAGAGAAACATGAATGATGAGAGAGAATCATTGATTGGCTGCCTCCTGAACACCCCCTACTAGGGATCGAGCCCGCAACCCAGGCATGTGCCCTTGACCGGAATCGAACCCAGGACCCTTCAGTCCGCAGGCTGGTGCTCTATCCACTGCACCACACCATCCAGGGCCACAGCTATTTCTTTATGAAATGAAGAAGGAGACAGAATCCCAGAGGACAGCGTTCTACTTACTGATGCGGCTGCATGTAGGGGGCGTGGACCAGCCGTGTTCCGCACACGTGATGACATCCTGGTCATTGGCGAGGCTGTAGCCCTGGTCACAGACGATCTGTACGGTGTCCCCTTCCTGGTGCGTTCGCCCTGAAGATGTGGAACGCCCATTTTCCACCCAGGGGAAGAAGCACTGTCCTGCAAGCCAAGGATGACTAAGATGAATCCTGCATCAGGTCAGAAATCAAGTGCAAAAAGCACTTCCTTAAAAATCAGTTCATGCCAATGAACATATGAGTGTGTGCTATCCGTCAATCATGACTTCTATGTAAAGCACATTTTGACGTTTGTCACGTTCTCTTAGGTATCAGAAAAGTGACTGGTTTTTCTCATTCCATTGACGCAATTGCATCCTAGGCTTCCATGTCCTGGGCTCGCCTCCGCCCTTTTTCTCTCTCCTAGTTGTTCTCCTCGCGTCTCTGCCCTCATTGAGAGTGGAAGACAGGTGTGACTCACAAACATGTAACTAAGAAAACCACACAAAGGAAGGAAAGTCATAAAAATGCTCCTTGAGTATCCGAAGGGACAGCATATGGTGGACAGAGGTTACCTGTCAAAAAATGAACTCTCCCGAGAAACATCTGTGTTCCTACAATCACCAAGTGAGCGCGTTTAAATATTAGCAGTTGAAATGGCCGAGCATTGGCTTTTGAAATTAAAAAAAATGTAGATATTTCATCAGTTTGTATCTTATTTTTTGCCGAGTTGATTTCTGAAGAGTGACATGTCTTACCTTCACTAACTCCACCAGCCCCTGACACGGTAATTGTTCAGATTCTGTGATCCCTCCTGCAGGCCCTCTCCCCGCCCCCTTCACTGAGTCCGCCTAGTAATTCATCGGGGAATGGGGGTTGGGGGGCATTTACTCACTGATACACCTCGGAGCTGGTGACCATCCTCCCTTCGTGCAGTTTATCTGCGTCCAGAGTGACCGGGAGGGAGACACGAAGCTGTGATCACAGGAGTAGTAGAAGTATTTCCCCGTGGCGACCGGGAAGGTGGGCTTATATCTGTTTTCCTCATATATGTTTCCATGTTTTATTTCCGGGAAATCACAAGTTCTTCCTGAAGGAAAAAAATGTAGGACCCCGGATGAACGAACAAGTCTCCTCTATTACCCTCACCCCCTTAATGAGATGTTGTAAGTTAATCACCCCTTTAAAGGCCTTATCACCAAACAGTTACATGCTGAGGTTCCGGAAGTTTGGACTTCAATCCAACCCGTGCCAACTAAATACACAGAGGTGTTCGCGTCCACACAAAAGGTTTGGCCCCTAAGGGGGATCCTTTCCCCTGACAAACATTGGTGCACCTCCAACTACAGAGCGTTTAAAAGAGTGGACTGGTACCCATTTAAAAAAATATATGTTTTTATTGATCTTAGAGAGCAGAAAGGGGAGGGAGAGAGAGATAGAAACATCAATAATGAGAGAGAATCATGGATCAGCTGCCTCCTGCACACCCCACACTGGGGATTGAGCCCGCAACCTGGGCCTGTGCCCTGACCGGGAATCGAACCGTGACCTCCTATTCATGGGACGTTACTCAGTCAACCACTGACCTACACCGGCCAGCTACTTAAAAAAAGTTTTTTTAATTGATTTTTAAGAGAAAGAAAACAGGGGAGGGATATTTAGAGAGAAACATTGATATGGGCCATTGAGCCCCAAACCCGGGCATGTGCCCTGACCGGGAATCGAACCTGCAAACTTTCAGTGCACGGGATGATGCCCAACCAACGGAGCCACACCAGGGCTCAAGGGTGACTTTTAGAAAGAGCTCCTTAATGAAGAACATTGGGAAACTGGGTAGGCAGCTTTGCTGTGTGATTGTAATTGTGGCGGCCAGTGAGGGAAAGTGCCCAAATGTAAACTGACCCAATAGACACAAGCCGGCAGGTGGCAAGTTATGTAAATGAATTCCTCTTGTAAACCAAGGAAAAAGCAATGATTCACAAGTAGCAGGATGAAGTATTCTAAGGCACACTGCCAGAGGTCTCATTTACAGGAACTCAGGAATGAGAGAATTTGATTTTAGGAAAATAAGGGATGTTAAATGATAGAATAGTGAAGACAAAATATCCAGAAGGATGGTAAAGGGAGGAGGAAATGTCATTGTGTAAATAAAATCTTAAAGATTCTAAAGTGCAACGAATGCTATTAGAACTAATGTACAAAATAAATTGCTTTTTAATTAAAGATAAGTTAAGGAGACTATCAATTATATTTGTTTTAAGATACAATTGTTTAATACATAGGGTTGCATTGACACATAATAGAGACCACATATTATTCTAAAGAATGCACATCAGTGCACAATAGAGATAATTCTATGAAATACAGTAATTTATGTACTCAACACTTAACAGTAAACTCAGAAATCTAATAAAATTTATTGACATTCCATTGGAAATTAAGAATGTATTTTACTTTTTGTGGAAACAGGTATTTCTTTTTACCCGCTGCTAATCTTATAGCAATACTAAATTGATTGCAATGCTAATTACTTTTACCAATTTATTAAAGTATAATTGAAATACAGTAAACAGAACATACTTGAAAAGACTGATTTCATGAGTTTTCACAAAGCAATCTATAAAACAGTCACCACACATACAATTCGGAGAATTGCTATAGTTCCCAAATGTGTATGAACACATTCAAATATTCCCGTAATCGGCATTGCGAGCCCTTTTGCTGGGAACTCAGGGAGCAAAATTCAACATAATTGGTTGTACTTTCCTAAAAAGGTCATTAGTCTCTGTTATGATCTCCCAATACAGACGATTCATTAAAAAAAACAACCACAGACCCACGAAAGTAGGAGTAACATGAAGTCCCAGGTAAGAGCACACGGCCTGGCCAGCTCTGTTTTCCACTCACCTTGTCCATGAGCCCAGGAGACCCACAGGGTGAGGATGACCTGGACTATTAACAGCATGGTGGGCTGCCCGGGGTGTGTTAGCACAGAGAGTCCAGTGCTGCTGTGTGTGGTTTTAACTCAGCTTCCTGAGCCGTTACCAAGTGTGGCTCTGAATTTAAGTGACAGTACCGGGAAGCTGGTTAACTGACGTCACTCGGTAGATAACAAAAAGACTTTTGCAATATCTGTAAATTTGCATGAAGGATTTCACAATCATCTCCCGAGTTACTTCCCTGACATGGACTTGCACAGCTTTTCTTAGGGATAGTAATGGACAGGTTCCAACAATAATATGAAACTCGAATCTTTAAACGCTTCTTGAGGATGGGTGAGGTTCTTTCTCAACCAGGAGATTCACGTGGGAATAGCTCTGACTGTATGTCCCTGTGACGGTCTCTCATCCTCTCATTGCTCTCACCCGACTGCAGTCCTAGGGGTCTATGGACACCACCCAGTGTGTCCACACAGTGTACAGTTCTGTCTGTAGGACAGCACTGGTTTGTTTTTATTTTTGGTTTGATTTTTTTGTAAACTCACAACAGACCACACCACCAAGTCCAAGAATTTCAGCACATTTTTCACATTCAACTTCTTCTTCCTTTTTGTTTTCATATGTTTTGCTTGTTTTTAAAGAGAGAGGGAGGCACAGGGAGAGATAAAAACATCTACAAGGAGAGAGAAACATCTACCTGCTGCCCCCTACAGGCCCTCTACTGGGGATCGAGCCCATAACCCCAGCATGTGCCCTCACCTGGAATGAACCTGTGACCTCTTGGTGCATGGCACGACGTCCAACCAATAGAGCCACACTGGCCGGCCTAGGCACCTTTTCTTTGAGGGAACAACATATTCAGAGGCATGCCATGGAGAAAATGAGAAGCATAAAGTCTAACCTCATCTGAGAACTAGTTTGGCCAATAACCTTCTGCTCAAATACAAATTGGAGACTAGTTATCAGGCAGAGCTTCCATTGGACGGGACTTTAGTTTGTTTTTATGTGCTTTCAGAATAGGCTATGAGAAAACAGAAATTCAGTTCCCATATTGACTTAGGATCAGTAAATATTTTAAGATTTGCAACTTTAAAATAACTGATTATTTTTGTCAAATAGAAGAGCAAAGCTTCGACTCTGTCAAACAGTTCAAACCCTACAGGTGGAAACAATGAGAACTGCCTTTCTTCCTCACAACAAGTCTTCTTCAGTCCACGATTCACGTCTGACTCCAGTAAGAGAATGTAGTAATGGGGTTATTTTCACTGACTATTTGTAACATATGTTATCTATGTAGGCATAGTTGTTAATCCTCTCCTGAGGATATATTTTCCCATTGACTTTTAGAGAGAGTGGAAGGGAGAGAAGAAAGAGGAGAGAGAGAGAGAGAGAGAGAGAGAGAGAGAGAGAGAGAGATGTGAGAGAGACACATCGATTGCTTGCATTCTGCACACACTCCACCTGGGACAGGGGTCAAACCTGCAACACAGGTACATGCTCTTGACCAGGAATTGAGCCCCTGGTCCTCAGGTCAATGCTCTGATTACGGAACCACACCAGACAGGGCGTTTTTAACGTGTAAATTTCTATTGTATGATTTCCCACAGTATATTCTCATCTCACATGTTTTGTTTGACTGGTTAAAACATCCGATTCAATAGGCAGAAAGCCACACCGTTACCTCCATTGCTGTTTATTGCTCTGTTGGCAAGTAGTCTAATCCCACGATGGTGAAGAATCATTGTCTTGGTACAAGTGTAAGTGATGATATAGTTGCGTTCACAACTTTGGGAAGTTGAAAAGGAGGCTAACGTATTGCTTTTTTGTCCTTTGAAATATAGTGGAAAAGAGCAGGAAATGCCAGAAGACTGGCAAGCTTTGAGGCAAAGAGCAGTAGGTGGGACTGGCCACATATTTGGGGCCACAGGGCTTCTTCATTTACACGTGGGGTATTCCATTTTCCCTTCCAGACACAAGGCTTGAAATGACTCCACTGACGTCACTGCCTTGCGTCCTGATTTGCACTTAAAGTCAATACTATTCCCTGATTTTATAAAATAGGTTCTGTCATATTTCCCATTTAACTGTATGTTCTTTTCTTTCATGATTTTTTCTGATAATACACATGGATCTGAAAGTAGAAGAAATAAATAAAAGCAATTAGTAATATTTATTTTTATAAACAAACTAGAGGCCCAGTGCACGATATTCGTACATGAGTAGGGTCCCTAGGCCTGACCGGCAATCAGGGCCTATCGGGGCCTAAGCCATAAGTTGGACATCCCCCAAGGACTACCGGGCTGCCAGAGGGATGTCTGACTGCCAGCTTAGGCCCGATCCC